AGGCTGCGGATATTTATTTGGTATTCTGCAAACATATGAGAACACTACAACAGCATTGCTATTTGAATTAGCAAAGACTCTCTAAGGACTCCAAACAGACAGACAAAAATGCAACCCCAGGGCTCATTAAATGGAGTGATGAAAATTGGAATGCACATTGTTCTTCCTGGAAGGAGATTATCCTAGCAGAGATGCCTCGCATTGGCTTGCTGAGATAGGTAAATACCTTGTACTCCTTTTGCATTCAAGCGTAAGGAGATCTGAGTTCACTTAGTCAAATCTCCCTGCTACTGAAAAAGGTGAAGTTTAATGGCCCCCGGGGTTGAACGCAAATCAGTGTGACTGCCGTCTCTGGAGCTCTGCATGCAATTTTCTGTCTCTAGATAAAGTGCAGACAGTCAAAAATAAATAAATAAATAATAAAACATAAATCATAAATTAAAGGGGTCATATAATAAGGAATCAAATTTTCCTTGATCTTTTGTGATAAAAGAACACACTGTTCTACTAAAAAAATATATTTTCCAGTTCCCAGCTAGATTTCTGACATATGAAACTCGAAGCATTAATATATGACTGTCTATTTACATGTCAGTGATGCTAATGAGGAAGTAGGATATTAAAAAATATGAATAAATATAAATCTCACACACATACATTTTTTTCTGTCCTAACCAACATTATAATGTGACCTCAAAAGAGAGAAAAAAGTATGATACACGGCCTTTAAATCAAAATGGTGTGGTATATGAAACAGAATCAATCTCTGTCTTGATGATTGAGGGTTTCATTTGGAAAGTCTGCACTTGATCCTGGTTAAACATGCTTCAATTCTCTGATAAAGACATTGGCAAATGCAGAGCAGGCAGTGTGAGCCTGGTTCCCATTCCCAATTAATCTGTCACTTATCCAAGTCTGGAAAAACAGCCAGTGTATGCTCTCCGGAAAGGTAAACGTCCTGTGCGGATTACGCAGGGCGGACTGAGATGCCTCCTGTCTGGGTATCTGGGGTGGATTTCTGCTGCAGTCCTCTTGGGAATGTGGGACATTGGATAACAAGGGATTGGACATTGGTTCACAATGCCCATTCCTAATCTTAAAATGTTCTGCTTCATTTTTGTAGCCCTTATGTCATGGGCAAGCCTGTTAAAACCATCCATCTCCAGGAAGAACTTAAGAAAAAGTAGTAAAAATCTAATGAAAACCCTATTTGCCTTCTCTATGCATGTTTTTGGACTTACACCCAACTTTTCCCCTCACTAAATATCCTATTTCATATACATTGTATTAGCATTTCATGTTTACTTTAAAACACCTACACACCTAAAGCTAACACAAATCATAGCATATGTATCCACCTTATTTTGCAACGCGAAAGAAAGCCATTTTGTTTGAACTCGCGAGACTTCCGCTTCATTTACCACTGAGGGTAAATAACTAAAAATAACAAAATGTGCACGAACGGTAAAACTATTTGCGCTACAGACCACAATCGTGTTTATGATTATAATAATAAGCTAAAACAGTAGGATAACAAATACCATTTTGCCATATCAAGCAGCATAAAGGACTGTTTTTACAGGTAAAATAACTGGAAGCGAATGTCACCGGAAGTCTCGCACATTCAAGTTAGGAACTCCGCGCCCAGTCTCACGTTACAAATATACCCGTGACCCAGTGAAAACATGACCCAGTGGCTTCTTGGACTACCACATTCACCCTCCCCAACTGTTTGGATCAGCAGACATGTTCAACCTGAAGCTCTGCCAATTCCTCGCCCTCGCAGAACTTCTGGTCCCCGGCCGAAGTAAACCGTGACTGGCTCCAACAGATGAGGCTTAATGGTCGCTCCAGTTCCACCTGCCTGTCGCGTTTCTGCACGTGAAAAGCGTGTGTGTTCAGCGGCAAACGCATTCAGAACTCAACTTTATAGCCTTTCTTTATATGAACACGTCTTTTACAAAGTGAGGGAGAGAGAAAGAACAAGGGAAAGGTGGAAGCGAGGAAACCGTGGCGCAAGAATCAACAGGAAGACTATCACTTATAGATAAAGCTAAAAAAAAACAAGGCCATGTTCAGAATGGAACACTGGCTTGCTGCATAAACTAACTAAATTAACGTTTTTGAAACTATTAAGTGAAAAAGATGGAAACCCGTTTCCTCCACCGAATAAAAAAATAAAAGAAAGGTTTTGCGACTTCATTTCTCAGATTTGCAAGTTTATATCGCAATTCTGACTTTATAACTCGCAATTGTTTTATATAGGCTATATTTATATATTTTATATATTTTTTATGCAATTCTCAGGAGAAAAAAAGGTCAGAATTGCGAGATGTAAACTTGCAATTGCGTGAAAAAAGTCAGAATTGTGAGATAAAAACTTGCAATTACCTTTTTTTATTCAGTGGTGGAAACGGGCTTCCATGCTTTAATTTTTTTTTCCTGGTTATTGCCAACATTATAAAAATTGTGAAGAAAATGTTCCAGTTTATTATGTTGCAAACTTGTGAATGTTACCTTGAATCTTTTCTTGAACATTCTGAAACGAGTATTGTATTAAAGGGGTCATATGACGTTGCTAAAAAGAACATTTTGTGTATTTGGTGTAATGAAATGTTTATGCGGTTTAAGGTTAAAAAAACATTATTTTCGAAGTTGATGTATTTCCTCAGCAACCAGCACAGATCAGCTCTAGGCTCTAGCTACTGCGCATGCTGTGTGAAGAAGCCCGTTGATACTCAAACCTGTACAATCCGTCGATAAAACAATATAAAGACAGCCAGATGTGCAATAACTCTGGGCAATTGTTTGTTCACATGTTTGTTTATTGTTCAAGCCGATCTACTGCGCATGTATGGAACACGTCCGCGGAGTGGACTATCAGCGTATGCTTTCGGTAGTATAAATAAAAGTAGTCCGCATCCGCGCTGTTCGTGCACGCGTCCGGATTGCTCTCGCGGAAAGTATAACAGGCTTAGAACGAGCTGTTTTAGGTAGGCGTGGTTGACTCTTAACTTTTATAAAGAATATCTCTTTGGATTTGAGACTTTAGTCTTTGCAACTTTACAGATCTTCTTTATGCACCAAGAGCTTGTAACACTCCAAAGCGAACGGACAAATTTAAATCGCATCATATGACCCCCTTAAATGTTAGACGAGAGTCCAACTAAAACGTTAAAAGAAAATGTTCTATCAACATTGTATAAAAGTTAAAAAACATTATTAAAGACCAGAAAACTTTGAATAAACATACTATTAATGCTACTGGAGGAACATTTGTTCATAACTTTTAGAGAACCTTACCAGAACATTCTAAGAACATTCCCTGTTAGCTGGGCATGAAGGTAAGTTGCTACGGCAATTGTTATTTTGCATTTTTAATGCAATTTTGTAAAAAAACAAAAAAAAAATTTGGCTGTCCAATCAAATAATGGGCTAAGAAAGCCATTAAATTTCTTTGAAATTATGGATACAATCAACAATTTACAGAAAATGTGCACACTGTGCAGACTTTGCATACTACATACTCCTGCAATAATAACTATTCTAATCCAAACAAGTTAACAGGAACAGCAGCTCTTTCAGTCTTGACACGGCACTGATTTGCTTTACTGTTAAATTTAAGATGATGTTTGACGTTTAAAGGATCAAAGGAGGTAAGATATTATATTTTATGAGATAACTCCCATTATAACTGCATTGAGGATGCGTTCAGACAGGCAAGTCTCACACAGTGCTGACTATTAAAGAAAAAGGTAAAATGCACACACATGGGAAAAAATCAGCATGCATTCATAGCTTGTTGGACTTAGACTTTGATTGGATAAAAAGTTCTAAATTAGAAATAAACCATAATAATTCTATTTTTGATGCACTGCAGAACTACTTTAGAAATGTGATTTTCTCAAAGTCTGATACAAAATTGATTTACAAATATCACACATTTTTACTATTAATTTTATGCATAGCCAGCTTGTACTCATACAATAAAATATTTATAATTTTATTTATGCTTTCTTGTTTCTAACCATATGCACAAGCTGTAGAAATGCTAGCTGGATTTTCATTGAAAAGAAAACTGGATAGCAATTTTATTGATCATGTCTTGCATCAAACTATATTCCACCCCTCTCCCGAATCCCAATCTCCTCATGCTAATGTATAATAGAACTGATACTCTGTTCTGAGCCTCATAAGAAATCCTACCAAATCACTTTATGATGCATACAGCTATGACAATAATATCTGGATTTATTTCTTGTATGTATTAATAATATTGCTGTTAAAAAGTTCGGGGTTGGAAATGTTGCATTTGATCAAAAACAATACTATTGTAAAATATTATTGCAAATTTAAATTAACAATTTTTCTTTTACATATATATTAAAATGTAATTTATTTCTATGATCAAAGCTGAATTTTCAGCATCATTACTCCAGTCTTCAGTGTCATATGATCCTTCAGAAATCATTCTAATATGTATATACAGTGTATACAGTGCTGTCCTTTGAAATATTTGACTGGAAACTGTCATTTTCTTTCCTAGAACAAAGTTCAAAGGAAAGCATCTATTTGAAATGGAAACCTTTTGTAACACTATAATTATCTTTACTGTCAGATGTTCACATATTCAACCCATAAGAATAAGCAACAAGAGTAATTGTAAGATATATTGAGCATCATGAAAAGAAAACTAGTATGGGTTTCCATGCATCCTTTATTCCTTTATATGCAGTACAATAACCACTGTGTTGCACTGAAGCAACAACCAACAGAAAGAACAATAATCTGTCTCGCAGCACATTTAAGGCTTTAAAGATATAAAAAATAAAAAAACAAACAAAAAGAAACCTACACACAAAAGTGTCTGTACCAACTAGGGTTTTCTCTGCATTATATTTGCATACTGTGATTCCAGTGTCAATAAAAATCAAAGCTAAATACCATTTACTTCATATTTTACATACCTCTATCTATATATATATATATATATATATATATATATATAGAGACAGAGAGAGAGAGGGTGTACAGTACGGTTATCTTACAAACCAGCATTAAAAGAGGTGTAAATATTAATAATTACTGAAAAAACATTGTAAAAATGTCAGTATCAAAAGCAATGGCGGGCTTAGATGTGGTCAGTTTCTGCCATTCCTTAAAAAGAGTCTCAAAGAGCTTAATCTCCAAACAACATCATACATGAACCACCCACTGCATAACCTTACAGCGATACAAGAAGTCAAACTAACCGACAACAACTGTCCGTTGTCTGGAAAAGAGGATGAATGTCAAAACGATGAGGAGGTGCGGTACCTTATTTATATCTAGCGAAGGTTCGGTTTTCACAGTGATTTTCCCATTAGAGTAGCAGCGAGCGGGAGCCCAGAGAAAATCTCCAAAATCCCCTTTCTGAGAAATTGACAGGAATATCGGCGCGAAATGTCTGAAACATAAGGCTTATTATAAGGTCAATGCTAAAAGCAACAGAGAGAGCTTAAAGTTTCACATTTTTAATACAACCCACGATTAGAACGATGTAGTGTTTGCACCGAAACAATGCCCTGAATGCTGTGTTGCGACAAAGCAATGTGTTTCACAGCTGAAAAGACAATACGACTCCTCTTCCCCACTGTATTCGAAATCACAGACAGTACGTCTTTATTATTTATGGGTCAAGTCACTTCCACAGGTCTTAATTAGCCCAAGTTACAATTATTTCGGCCGAACAGTCAGCGGCCTTTACCACACAAACACATGTGCGTATGAACGTGCCTAAACACAAACACACACATAAACTGGCCATGTAAAAAGTCAGTCACTGGTTGATCTTGTCCTAATCAACGTGAAACATAAAACGGAATGCTATGACAATTCCCACCCCCCAAAAAAAAACAAGATAATCGAAAACAAAAATATAATAACCTGAAAACACCAGCACAATAAAAGTGCAGTTTAATTAACCCTCTGCATTATATTTGCATACTGTGATTCCAGTGTGAATTAAAATCAAAGCTAAATACCATTTACTTCATATTTTACATACCTCTATCTATATATATATATATATATATATATATATATAGAGACAGAGAGAAAATATTTATTTACTTATTTATTAGTATTTTGGCAGAAATGTAGTGATTCACACACTAGGTCAATGCTAAAAGCAACAGAGAGAGCTTAAAGTTTCACATTTTTAATACAACCCACGATTAGAACGATGTAGTGTTTGCACCGAAACAATGCCCTGAATGCTGTGTTGCGACAAAGCAATGTGTTTCACAGCTGAAAAGACAATACGACTCCTCTTCCCCACTGTATTCGAAATCACAGACAGTACGTCTTTATTATTTATGGGTCAAGTCACTTCCACAGGTCTTAATTAGCCCAAGTTACAATTATTTCGGCCGAACAGTCAGCGGCCTTTACCACACAAACACATGTGCGTATGAACGTGCCTAAACACAAACACACACATAAACTGGCCATGTAAAAAGTCAGTCACTGGTTGATCTTGTCCTAATCAACGTGAAACATAAAACGGAATGCTATGACAATTCCCACCCCCCAAAAAAAAACAAGATAATCGAAAACAAAAATATAATAACCTGAAAACACCAGCACAATAAAAGTGCAGTTTAATTAACCCTTGAGGAGCATTTAAAAAAAAAACATTAGCAGAAAACCAAGAGGAAATATCAAATAGTCAAATACAACGTATTGAATGCGGTGCAAAATGTTAGCGTTTTTTTATCAAGTATAAAATAATAGAGAGTGGTTCGAAATCATCAAAACGCCCCGCTCCTAAATAGAGAGACTTCAGCTTTTTTTTTTTATCAGCAAGTGCAAGTACTGATGGCGTCCTCAGCCCTGGGTAAAGGGGAACCCTACACGACACGTGTGAGTGAGTGTGTGCGCGCCTCGGCTTCAGGAGGTAGCCAGCTCGAACGTGATAAACTGTTTGAGTCTCTCGAGGTACTGAGCGTAAAGCTCGATGTCGTTGTGCCCGGCGCCCTCCACCCACAGAGGCTCCACGGCACGCGGACATCGCTCGTAGATGGCCAAACCGTGGGAGAAATCGATCACTTCGTCTTCTGTGCCGTGGATGACCAGCACTGGAGACGCCACCTTTGACACCTTGTCGATGCTGAAACACATGAAGACATGTAGAAGGTGTATTAGACAAATAATAAGTAAATCAATGCAAATGAATATTTTTCTGTAAAGTATCTTGCAAGTTGTGAATTTATTGTTTTTTTTTTAATTGCAGCACATCATCTAATCCACTTTACAGGTGTTCTGGTCAAGCAGCGGCAAAATAAATCAAGAAAGAGACTGTCTGGCATACAAGACAACCTTTAAACGATCAACAATAGTTTTTCTTTTAACATGCAGTTTAAGGGAAAATTTTAAATAAATAGCACAACCATAATAAACCAGGATGGAAACATGTAGATGTCATGATTACAATGCTGTGCATTAGGGATGCTCATTTTAACCGGTTAACCGACCATAAGAATTTTGACCGATTAATACAGTTGTCGGTTGGGAAAAATAACCGAAATGAACATCCCTACTGTGCATCCAAAAGAATTACGTTTTCTCAGTTGTTGCTACACCAGCTCCACCCCGGCTAGTGCAGGTCTGCTAACTCACCCGTGATCCTCACAGGACAGTCCAGAGGAGAGTCAAACAGGCATGCTAATTAATGTGTAGCTCAACATGCCTAATTGTTGCTTATTTTCCTCATTGGTGCACAGGCAATCAAATTTGAGTAAGTGAGGAGATTAATGCGTGACACAAGCTGATGGAATAATTACACCGCCTATGAAGAATGATGCAGTTATCCAAACACCAACCAAATAAATATGAAGCATGAATTTCAACCCAGCACATTCCAGTGGATGACTGACAAAGTGTAGATACTGTATTTTTATCAGGCAACACACAGGGAAAAGCTTATTCTTATATATAATCTGCCAGGGAACTCTTATTAAAAAGACTGTTTTGCAGTCTTTATCCAGGCTTTCCATCTTTAATTGACCGCACACAAAGAGCTTGATTGATAGGCGATCGGACCAATCATAACGTCACATTAAAGAGCCACAAAACGATACTTGTTTTAATTTCTTACAAAAAAAAAAAGACAAAATCTGAAAGCTGAGATCATGTTTCATACCAGAAGTAACCTGCTGTGTCTTGTCTGTCAGCGAAGGGTCAATTCTAAAAGAAAGTTCCGAAACTTATGAGCAAATAGTATATTTCATGAGATTTGATCGCAAAGTATAGGGATCCCATGACTAGAAGGTCTATAACACAGCACAGTAGTGTTGTCAAAAGACCCGATACTTCGGTACTAAAAAAAAAAATGTAAACGTTATGGTACCAGGTTTTTTTAAGTACCGGTGGTACCGAGTACCCGGTCAACCCAGTTCCTGATGCGCTATCTGAAAGGTGCGCAGATGCGCTCTCTTCATAAAAGCACTGAGACGTGGCGACATCAAAACGAGGAAACACACCAAACTTACAAAACTCTTTAAAGACAGACACATTGACACAGACACATCCCATGCATTGATTTATTTGTGGCGGCCCGCCACAATATCAAAACTGACCGCCACAAATAGATTTTCCAAAAGGCTTTGACTTCATTGAATAAACATGAGCACTGCATGTGTCAAAGTCGAAACCTGGTGCGGGTGTTTTATATCTGAAGGAAACCGACTTGTCTTCAGAAAATTATGGATGTCATTCTCATTTCATCTTGCCTGTAATGCCTGAGCAGCGTTTGTGAGCACAGCGCTTATTTGATTACAGCCATTACTGGGGAAACCTGATCTCTCCCGCTGTACAAGCGCA